TGCACCTCTGAGAACTTTTAAGGCTTATTCTGTGGCGTTTATATAAGCCTTTTGACGGGTTGTGTCACAGAGCTGTAAAAACGGTTATGCTCACCAAGTGAATGAATCGCGTTTGTGCCGAACTCTTATTGCAAAGCAAAAACAAACACTCTTCTTCGATCTATGAACGTTTCTCTCAGTTAATGTGCGCGATGTCATCTCACAGTCTGAAACATCTGTCATAGCATATCAACACATGCTGTTGGGAATAATTAAGTGAAGCGTCTTCTCATTGGATAAGAACACGCAGTCTCATGAATAATTTAACAGGCACCGACGTGTCATCGATGTACTATTAGTCCACTGCCGCGTCACAAATTGTGACATCAACACGATGTATATTTTAAACCCGGAAGATGAAAATAGCGCAAAAAAGCTTAAAATTAACCAGTTTTCTCCAACAGTTAAAATTATCGAATGCTAACATTGTCTTCTATAATGTGCAACACAAACACCTCTGCTAAAAATCTCAGAAAAAGTAGTCTGGGGTTTCATGACCCTTTTAAGACCTCCGTGTATCGTCACGAGCCGCAGGGTTTAATTTAGTTTTGTCTGTGTATGTTTTTTTTTACTCTCGAAGCCGTGGAGCCCATTGACTGCCATTATATGACTGACAGACTGCAACGGTTGGAGTTAGAAATCTTCGTTAGTCATTCACATCACTAATGCCAGAGGCAAATACAAATTCTATAAAAATATTATACATAAAATGTCAAATACAATAAATAAAATACAAACTCTGAACGAATAAACTACATTTAACAAGTAAAAAGTCAATTAATAAAGCATTTAATTAAATATAAATCAATACATATTAAAAAATACATATAAACCAACCTACTAACTCCTTCCTTTTCTTTATATTGTTCTGAGATTATACTTATTTGGTATTGTCCTGGTCTAAAAGTGTTTTCCTCATTTGTAAGTTGCTTTGGATAAACCATCTGCTAAACGAATAGATGTAAATGTAGTGAATGCTTCAGGCGCATCAGCGTCTGTAAGTCTGTCCTTACTGATCACGGATTCTGGTCATTTGCATCAAAGTCCTGCAGCCCTTATTTAATGAAATCATGGAGTTGGTACCCGGCTCGTTTTAGACATCAGTGCACAATATTTCATTTATAAACCCTACGGATAAACTGCGGAGGACTGCTGAACAGAGATGCTTTGCTTTGGAAACTGGAAAAAAGCGGTTCATAAAAGCAGCAACAAAAGCATCCATTCTGTCTTCATTACAAACAGCCATCATATGATCAGGCATGGTCTTAATTAGTATGGCCAGCTAGCAGATAAAAAAAAAGCATTTAGTCTCTCTTTCAGTTCTCAGATTAGACTAATCAGCTTAAGTGTTCATGCAACCATAACTTTATACTAGTTTAAGCAATTCATGCAACTAGTGCTTATTACACAAAACCAACAATGCAAGAAAATACATTATTTGACATTGTATTTCTCTCTGTTTTTTTTTTTTTATTAATATGTAGAGACTTGCTCATTAGAGCCACCATGTGCAAATTAGACTTTGCTTGAACGGTCTATGGTCTTTAACTCATTTAACCAGTTTTTAAGCGTAACTGATGGAGGTGATCAGTCTCAGTGAATTATTGTGCTCATTGCTGTGGTTCTACTGCAAAGTCATGCAAACAGAGCTGGTTTGAATGCGGATTTGAATGTTGAGATAGCGTGAGACAACCTGCGTCTGAAATCACTTACAGTCACGTACACAAACATACAGAATATCAGCACAGAAATCACTGGACCGAGGCGGCAGAAAATTTATACAGTTCACGTCATTAACTGCAATCCAATGACATTCCTAAAATTTCCGTGAGAAAGCCTGTTTAAGGATTCAAAGCAACCATATCTGCTGTGCAACTGGGTTTAATCACTTAAAGGGACAGTTCACCTAAAAATGAACTTTGTTATCATTTACTCTCCCTAAAGTTAAACAAATGTTTATAAATGTGAAAAAAAAAAAAATGAAAAAAAGCTTAACATATGTACATAGACAAAAAAAACCTACTAAAAATAAAATAAACTAAAAATGAAAACACATCTGAAACATCTCATTCAAAATATTAAAAAGCTGTAATACATTAATGATACTAAAAAAACAACAGTGTCCAGGTTTGGAACAGTATGGAGAGTAAATAACAGATTTATCTTGACCAATTTAAAACCTCAAATAGAGTAGAAAGATGAATTTATACTGGGCTAAAAATAGGTGCGACTCCTCATTACAGCTACACCAGCAAACCTCACCGATTTCCACTGACATCCAGTCAAATGTGAGCCTGCAGCACAAAAGCAGTCTTAAGTCGCTGGGGTATATTTGTAGCAATAGCCAACAATACATTGTATGGGTCAAAATTATACATTTTTCTTTTATGCCAAAAATCATTAGGATATTAAGTAAAGATCATGTTCCATGAAGATATTTTGTAAATTTCCTACCGTAAATATATCAAAACTTAATTTTTGATTAGTAATATGCATTGCTAAGAACTTCATTTGGACAACTTTAAAGATGATTTTCTCAATATTTAGATTTTTTTTTGCACCCTCAGATTCCAGATTTTCAAATAGTTGTATCTCGGCCAAATATTGTCCTATCCTAACAAACCATACATCAATGGAAAGCTTATTTATTCAGCTTTCAGATGATGCATAAATCTCAATTTCAAAAAATTGACCCTCATGACTGGTTTTGTGCTCCAGGGTCACAAATGTAAAGAACATCATTCACTTCACAATGAATATGACAAACCACACCCTTTGACCCCAAAAATAAGGCTTAAACAAGAAACAAGTCTCTTTAAATTTCACTTAACTTTTATTAAAAAAAAAGAAAAAAGAAAAAAAAGAAAAACAATTTTTGATTGAACAATACAAGACTACCAATCCAGAATGAGCAAAAAATACTAATTGGAAAAAAAGTGTATGTTTACAATGTGTGTGTGTGTGTGTGTGTTTGTCCCCTCGCATTAGAAAAAAACAAAAGCACAAAGTGAATCATTATGTGCTAACGTAAAAGCACATCGCAGTGAAACGCCGCATGTCTATTCATAAACGAACAGGAGCGGCGGGCGTGAGAGAGATGAGCCAAAGAGCGTCATGTAACGCTCATAAAACACCAACACTACATCACAGCTACTGCTCCAGAAACACGCTCACACACACACACACACCTGAGAGACGAGTGAGAGTCCGTCCATCCGCTGATATGAAAACCACTATTCTACAGCACACATCAGCGCTGGCCGACACCATTTACACCAAACACAGTGTGTGTGTGTGTGTGTGTGGGGCAGTCAAAGAGGACTGTGGGAGACTGATTTGGCAGTGTGTGTGTAAGTGTAAGTGTGTTATCTAACGTCGTCTCTTCTTCTTGCTGCTGGGGGGCGGAGCCGATGAACGGCCTTTCCTCTTCCTGTTTAAGGTCTCCTCTGTATCCTCATACTGACTCTCGCGATCAGCTGACGGAAGGAAATAAAAGGCCGTTACAAACAGACCAATCACTGCATTGTGTAGTAGATGTAAAAACAAAAACATTCAAAATACACACTGAAGTTGTATTGTAATACACTTTATTTGTGTGTAAATTTCAATTACAGTACAGATCTTTAAATGCGGTTTTCTCAAAATGAGTTTTATCATCTCCACTTCAGCAGAACTTACAGACACCAAACTTAGCGGCTTTATTCATATCTATATTCTGAATGTTTTTACTGAGGGGTTTGTTCATATATAATTTGACTCTTTTTATTACACTGTATATTGGTGTCTGTAGATTTCAGTTACAATCTGAATGTCTCTCACCTTTCCTGGCTTCCTCCTCCAGTTCGTCCCAGTCTTTGCCGCTCTCCTCCTCGCTGCCCAGAGACGCGCTGTAATCTGTGATCAATAATCAGACATCAACAACCCTCTACAGATGCTTTAGCCAAATTCTCTCTCTCTCACACACACACACACACACACACAGCTAAACTAAAACTCAATCAAAGTGGCTGATGTTCAACAAAGGAAGCAAACCAACAATTATCATGTCACAAAATACACAGTGTATTTAACGATAAATACACTTTGATATAACGATAGACACTTTCAATAACGATAACTGAATCTAAATACAACTCAATCATCTAAAAAAAAAATAAAAAAAACTTCAAAGCTTAACTTAATTTTATTTAAAAATTCAAACATAATCAGCATCTATACGAGTAATGTATCGGAACAGCAACGTTACTCGAGTCCTCTGTCTCCGATGAGTAATCTTCATCGCTGTCCTCCTCTTCCTCCACCTCTTCATCATCAGCCGAGGGGTTAAACGTCTCGTCCGCCATCTCGGACCCGGAATCGTCCTCCGCGCCGCTTCCCTGAGACACAGAAGCACTACGACGTTAGCGTCCAAATAATTCGGTGCTCAGGTGAATATTTAATAATTGCAGATTAAACGAGCATTAAGCTTTCAGATGCTAGGTCTCCAGGGTTATTATAGCTAACTAAAACCAAACAACAACCACAACATCATGTCTGTTAGTTTAAATGAAAGTTAATTTTTACTTCAAATGAACTAAATATATTTATCTAAAAATCAAATAACACTTTAAGAAATAATCATCTTTAAATAAGCTAAATACAGTTCATTATTACTACTACTACTACTGTCATCATCGTTATTAAGATTATTAGTAGTTGTAGTAGTAATTTTCAAACAAGTAAAATACATTTAATTTAAATATTTAAATAATAATTGCAGATTAATAAATAGTAAATTACAGACAAAACATCAACCAGGGTTATTGTAGTTAACAAAAACAAATAAAAAAAAGTTCCTTGAAATAAAACAAATGACTTATTGTAAACATCTTAAACTTATTATAAAAACGTATTTCAGCTAATTGCCAAGTTTAGTTTAACTATATACTAAAATAATTCAAAACTAAAAAAAAAAAAAAAAAAAAAGAAACAAGCGGATCGAGACCACTAAAAAGATGGGTCTCGGTCCGTTTCCAAACGAACTCTGGTGTGGTCGAATGATATATGAACGCATCACGGACCAAATACTTCTAAACGAACCAAAAACGGGAAGTTATGACAAGATGCGACGCTATGCGACATGATTTGACGACGCGGTGTAACCAAAACAAAATGAGCAGAGGGCAAATGATGCAAATCCTTTTATGAGTTCCTTGTGAGTTTGCAGGTGGTGAAAATAAAATTATATGTACACGCAAGAATGAGCGCGCTTAGTCCAGCAGACGGCATTAGTTGTGTTCGACTTAAAGCGGCGCTGAGCAGACCGATCAGTTAATGGGTGCTTTGATATTAGGGATGCACCGAAATGAAAATTCTTGGCCGAAGCCGAACAAAATGAAACATTGGGCCGAAGGTCGAATACGGTTTTTCGAGTTTGGGGTGTTCGGTGAGTTCAGTCACGATATATACGTCATTCAAGCCGACCAATAAGTTTGTGAATGTATAATTATGCCTTTAGGTTCGCTGTCAAAAATGCCAATGTGAATGCTAAGCGGACCATGACCAAATGTATCATTTTCCTTTTTGGTCCGGACCAAATGAACCGAACTACAAGTATGAGCACACCCTAAAACACCACAAGACACCCAGGTCAGGCTGATCACGGCAAGACGTCATACCTCACTCTCCGGATCGAGGAAGGACCAGCCGCCCTGCTCGAAAAAGCCCTCGGGATCATCCACAATGGTCTTCATGATCTTGGTCCAGTTCAGAGACTGTACGCCCTCCGTGTACTTGATATCGCACGAGCTGCACACAGACACACAACACGTTCACTCACACTGCAAACATCTCAGACGAGAGCGGCACGGCCGGCACGCCAGCTTACTTGAGCCACTCTTTGATGGGGTCCAGAGAGTTGACGGGCACGGCGTTGATCATCGTGACTTTCTTGTTGTAGTCTTTATAAACAATGACCACATCGAAGTTCTTCAGGTGAAACTGGACTCTCTCGAAATGAACCAACTCCACCTCGTCGAGCGTCACCACGAACGGGGGCTTTGAGAGGGAGAGATGGGTCATTAGGACTATGGAATGAAAATCGAAAATCAATTCCAATTCCAGAATTGGATACTTAAGGTCAGGAATCAGATGTGTTGTAAAATGTACATTTAAATTCCGCCTATCAATTCCTGTGTGCACATCTTTTTTTTAGTGGTGAAAAGGGGCTGTTAAAAATATATATATAGCCATGTCAGCATCAAAGGCTATTTTCATAGCAAAAACAATAAAAAAAAAAATAGAAGTATAACAAATACAATACAAACCAGCAAACAAACAAACAAACAAGTTATAATCACACAAGATAGTTTACATTAACGTGATAAAAATTCAAAAACTTTTCACTAAATAACTCTTTAAGTGAGTTCACTTCATAAAAGAGTTTTCTCTGTACATTAAAAGCTGTGTTGTAAAATGTACATTTAAATTCCGCCTATCAATTCCTGTGTGCACATCTTTTTTTTAGTGGTGAAAAGGGGCTGTTAAAAATGTAGGCCTATTTTGTCTTTGAATCATTCATTCAAGTGATTCATTCAAAAACACTGATTCAACCAATAATGAAACGTAAATATTGAGGGAGTCATTGAATCATTCCATTCATACATTCCATGAGATTGTTTAGTTGTCTAATATTTTTTTTTCTTCAGAATTGTGAGAACTACAACCTCCAATTATAAAAAAAAAAAAAAAAAATCCAG